ATCACATACACACACACATACATGCATACATAGACACAAACAACCCTTTTGAGTCGATATGCGCTACTACTTGTCATTGATTTGATTTTGTTCAATCTCCAATATTCTAAGTTCAACGTGAACAATTGAATTTCAATGTTTGCTTCTTCATCGTTTTTTTTAAGAAAAAGAAAAAATTAAACAATTCTAAATACAACAATATATGCAGTACAGATAATCATCATCTTCTTTAACTAATTCAAAGAGATTTAAGTTAAAGCTGATAAAGGAATAGAAGAGAAACGTGAACAGCAATCAGCAACAATCATACTACATCACATCATCATTTCATTCGGTTTGAACAACCATGACATGGATCATCCATTGAAATCCATTGAAGTGTAAAATGTCCATGGTAATTTTCTTTGTTAATATATAATTTATTATTACTATTATTATTCGTAGTAGTAGTAGTAGTGGTATTTTTATTATGAATCATTTCACAACCACTAGCGCGCAACATATCAAGTTTCGCAACAACAACACAACGGTGATACTTTGCAACTGAACACACTATTCATTCCTTTCCATTCTTCCTTCCGTGCTACATAGAGAACAAGTTCGTAGAACTAAACAATCAAAGAAATCCATCTAATATTTAGAGATACACACACAAAGAGAGAGAGAGAGCGTTGGATAGTGAGCGAGAAAGAGATATACACAGTGTATAAATGTGTGTGTGTGTCTGTATATATATATATATATATATATATATATATATATATATATATATATATATGGACATTACAATAGTAATAATAATAATAATAAACAATTTTGTTAAACGAAAAACAGAACAGAACTGAACAGAACACAAAACGAAAATAATTTTCTAGAAAGTAAAAAAAACAAGAACCGAATAAGCAAAACACAAAAATGTTTCATTATAATTTAGTGAACGAATAAAACCCAATCATTATACATAATGTAGGCTGGTTCAAGGTTAATAGAAAAGGAGCGGTGGCAGCATATATATATATATATACGAAATAAAATAATTCAAGAACAAAGAAACGACAAACAAAACAGAGCAAACGCAAACATACAGATTTTCGCATGCACGCACTCACGCACGCACACGACCACACAGACAACCACAAACAAACCAAATAAAAAAACCATTCACAATTACATACCTTCCTACAAAAAGACAGATAGATAGGGAGACAGTATTCACTCTCACACACACACACAAACAAATTATTCGAATGCATAGTAGGATAAAGAGTCGAACAGAATGAACACTTTTCCAGTAAAACCTGCCATATTGACAATCGTCGTTGGGTATGTATGTCAATCTGAAATTCGAGGAAAAAGAACAACACAGAAACCAGAGTTACATTTTTTTTTCGGTGGGGGGGGGAGGGTAGTTTCATCCAGCTGAACGCTGGCAAACTGAAATAAGTTATAAACGAAACCTTCTTTACGAAAAACACAACATCTTTTTAGCATACTTAAGTGGCTACACAGTTATTCGTTGCACGTGGGGTCAAATCATGCATAAACTAAAATGGTTCATTTTGGGATAAAAAATTATTATTTGACGCTACGAAACTCCACGTGACATGAGAAAAAACCTCGTACTACATACTGATGCGGATGTAGTTGGGCATTCGTAACACATGTTCTAAACACTACAACTGATAAACTTTAATAACCTTATCTATCGATATCACATCCCTACCTAGTACTCGTTTCCTAACGATAGCATTGCTTACTCGGTTGTCCCAGGATAGTCGAGCAATGCTTCGGAGACACTTAAGATCGAAAACCGGTAACCTAAGAATATTCTTTACCCTTACTGGCCATGTTTCGCATCCATATAGTTGAACAGAGCGAACTGCAGAGCAGTACACTCATCCCTTGGTTAGCTGACAGATATCTCGCCTACACCATAATTCATACCAGTTGAGCCATCTGTATCCCTGCTAAGATTCCGGTCACATACTAAGCCATCATAACTAATGTGAGTGCACAGATAAGTGAAGCAGTCAACACAGTCAACTACTTCACTCCCTATCAGACAGACAGATATATACAACGCAGAACTTCGTACGTATTTACATAAGTTCAGGTTACCATACCACATCAGCACAGAGACGCAAATGTCAAATCAAATCCCATTGTGATAAAGATAGTAGAGGTAGTAATGGTAATGAAGAAGACTAGGGTTTGAAGATATTATTCAAGAATTATAATTCAGTGAGGTAAGCTTAGAAAGACAAAGGTAGGGTTGCTGACGAATCCAGAAGATTAGGATTTGAGAGAGCACCATGAATGGATGCACTTGTGCCATTGCAAACGATTTTGAGCCATGTCGTTCAAGGTCTCTAACCATCGGTGACTTTCCTCTCGCGGACCCCAACCAGGTAGTCTACATTTACCAACATGACTCAGTCCACTAGTCAGTGATGTCATAGATTTGTGCCATGTTTTGGTCTGGCCACCCCTAACTTTCTTCCAACCTACTCCTACACCACAAAACATAGCTCGTCGTGGCAGTCGGAGGTTAGGCATACGTAACACATGTCCCAACCACCTCACTACTTCATCTAACTTCCTATCAATAGTTCAGATAGCGATGCAACCCAATCTTGAAGCAACATTTCGGGGGGAAAACCGCATACCAAACATGGTCGTATTGTTGCTTAGGGTAATCGGAAGACTCAGCATTTTGTTACAGTATTCACCAAGTATAACTATGTCATAGGCATACTCTAAAGTCAATAAACAAATCTTCTGGTAGAAGGTAGTGATCTCTAAATGAATGAATATGACAAATGTGAATAGTAATGGAGAAGACATTATTATTATTTGTATCGCTGGCATATGAATTTCAGACAAATAGTGATTTTTGAGCCAATTTCATTTCACCATTTTTATAATGATGCACCTAATTAGATTGAGTTGCACAAATGGCCAAGTCGTAATCTACTACAAACCAATATGTACACAAAGATGAGTTTATATATAAACATGTAGTGAGTAATCATAATCATAAATTACACGAATCATTTACAAGAGATTTCAGAAAACCGTAATAGGTAAAATCGGTCAAATCGATATATACAACAAATTGATGAATTAATTTGTTACTGTCTATACAATCAATCAATAATCAAGAGCAACGTAGAAACTTCGTACGTACGTAAGTGCATCAGTTCAAGTTGCCATATCACATTAACATAGAGATGTAATTATCGATTCAAATCCTATAGTAGTAAAGGTAGTAAAAATATTAGCAGCAATCGGAAAGATTGTAGTTTGACGATATTATTCAAGAAGTATAATTCAGTGAGATAAACTTAAAAAGTAAAGGATAAAGGTGATGACAAACTCAGAAGGTCAGGTTTTGAGAGAACACAAGAAATGAATACATTTGCGCTATCGCAAAAGGGTTTTGAGCCATGTCATTCAGGGTATCTAACCATCGAGTACTCATCATCATTTCGCGAGTACCGACCAAGTGGTGGTAGTCGACACCTACTGTACATATATAGTTTGATAAATGAAAATACAAATATAAAATTAATCGAAACTTACACAAATTTATCTAATTTGTAATAGATGTAAAGAAGAAGGCAACATTTGCATACACATTTTCTTTGTTTGGTTTGAAAGTGGAGGGGGGGTCAAAAAGTGGGGATTTCATTCGCAAGAAAATGATCAAAACACTGACGATGATGTGGTGACAAAGAATACTTCAGAGTCTTTGTCTTCTTCTCCTCCAAGCAAAAACAGGAAAAACAATTGTTAATCTGAAATCATTGAGAGCATTACAAATATACACACACCAAAACACAAACCAACAGAGTATATGTACATATATATAGACATTACAGTACGGATTTATGGATTTAATAAACACTACATAATCAGCCATAATACAAGAATCCCTAGTTAAATTAAGAGTGGCAAAAACAAACATCAACTCTACTCGAAAAAAAGACAAACAAATTAGATGATAATCGGCAATTATGGTAATGTGACAGAGAATTTCTCAATGACTTAAGAATAATATTTTATTGAATAAATAAAACTATTAAATTAATGAGTGAAAACTACACTGAATATAGTATGTATGCATATCATCAATTCTATGATTTGTAGAAACCTTGACTAATTTTTAAACCAGAAAAGTTCAATCCCTGTGACGATATGAAGCAATGTGCTCATCGAAGACAATGGATAAGATTGTACAATGTTGTGAATTGTATAAAAATTAAACATTCGATAATGGGCTCAATGAGTGGTCGAGCGATTTGGCGTTCACGCGCACACAAGACTAAAGGTCCTTGTTTTGAATTCTGAAAATTCGCACTGCTGCTGATGAGTGACAAACCGGGACGAAATCGCCGTCCACTACTTCTAAGACTTCTTTTTAACACTGATCTAATATGAATCGATTCATAAATATAATATATAAATACAACAAGTAAAAATGAATGAAATGTGTTTAAAACAAAAGCTGTTTTCTTGGAACTTACCAATATATAATGACAACAGTAGTAGTAATAGTAGTAGTAGTAGCAGCAGCAGGTCACCGAGTAAAATACAAAATTTTCCAAATGAGAGAAAACAAACGTCCATTTTAAATGCATATATATATATATATATAAATAAGTGAGAATAGTGACGGATGATGACAGGGTATTTTATCAATCAAAAAAAAGTAAACAGCATTATAAACCGAAGCCATGTAAAAATGTATCGGTGTGTGTGTGTGTGTGTGATGAGAACAGTGAACAATTGACGTGAATACACTAATTGTGTCTGTCTGTATATATATATATATATATATATATATATATACGCCAACCACAATAGAAAACAGAAATAGGAATAATTACAAGGGGACTAGTGAAAGGTTGTTTGTTTGTTGTGGTTTTGTTTTCCGTGTTATTTCTGAGAACAAGAAACAAATTATTCGTTGTCATCAATGCATAATTTAATTATTATGATTATTGGGCAGATGAAGTAAAAACAATAGGTCGCGGTGTTTCTGTTGAAATACGAGCACGTTTTCGAAAATCTTCTGAATCATGTAGTTGTTGTGTGTCAGCATTATTATTATTGTTATTGTTATTATTAATAGGTGTGGTAGTAGTAATAGTATTAATATTAGTAGTATGAGTTGTAGTATTTGTATTAGTAATAGGATTAATAATGGTATTTCTAGAATCCGTATGAATATCAATGGAGATTTTCTCCAAACTAGCATCCATTGAACCAACACGTTTCGACGAAACTCTACCAACACCGGTTGTACCAGGACCAGTACCGACAATAATCGAATCCATTGGATTGAGTGCATTATTATTACTATTATTATTATTATTATTGCACAATGATGAATGATCCGACGACAATAATAAAGATGATGTAGCCTCCTCCTCCTCCTCTCCCTCCCCGTCGACCTTCACAGTATCCTGAGATGAAACAAGCAAAAACTTTGCATTGACACACGCACACGCACACATTGAAATGTCAACAAATAAAGCATACTACTTTACGTACACACACACATAGAAGTGTGATAATAACACTATTTTTTTTTTAAATTTGCGCTAAATACATAAAGGAGGATAGTGTAATAGGTTTGTGTAATATAGTTATATTCCTTAAACAAATTTTACAAATTTGAATTATACTATGATTTGTCTTTGAGAGTGTGTGTGTGTATGTTGGTGCGATAACCAGCACAAAAAAAGGGGCATAAACAATTTCAAAAATATATATAGATAGATAGATATATTTATACAACAATTTTTCAAGATGACCAACCCTTCATTATGAACAGCCTACATGTGTAGGTGATAATTCATTTCGTTGACTGTCAGATACAATAACAACACTAGTATCACATACCGTTCTTGCACAGCATCCGAATGTCGGAGATGAAGGAGGACATTTTATGTTGCTGGCAGATGAATTTGCAGTAGTCGGCGCTGCATTGTTTAATGAATTGGTAGACATGGAATTGTGTAGAAGAGGAGTATTCGCTGGAGAGGAATTAATTTCCTCACAAGTAGACAGTTCAATACTACTTGCTGGACTAGACATAGTGTTGAGTGTTGTATTACTACTACTATTACTGCTAGTAGCACTAGCAGTAGTAGCAGTAGAATGTAAACGACTGGTTTTTTGATTTTCCGCAGAATTATTTACATTGGATAAAGCTGCAGCAGCAGCTTGACGTTTAATCTCATCCATATCTTCAGCAGAAATGAATTGAGCTAGTTGTGATCTAAAAGAATAGAAAAGATTATATTTTACAAGAATATAATAATTTAGTAGTTCAGTGGTTTAGGCGGGTTAATTAAATCCACGAAATGGTGGTGGTTTAGGGTAAGATTGGAAGAAAGCTAGCATCGGCAAAACCAAAACCAATGACACAAATCCATGAAGTCACTACTGACAAGTGGATTGAGTCATGTAAGCAGGTGTAGACTACCTGGTTGGAGTCCGTGAGATGATAGTAATCGAGGTTTTGCGACTTTGTAACTAGGGGGATTTGAATCGGCATTTGTATCTCTATGCTATTGTGGTACAGCAACTTGAACTGATGTACGTACGGAGTTCTGCGTTGTAGCTGACTGATTAACTGTAAAACCAGAAGAAATCTAGCTCAAACATAACAACCACAGAGAATACTGCGAACATAACTTATCCTATAATACTTGTAAAGACTAAAATCAAGTCTCCCTAAAAGACTCATAGATAGATGGAAATTTCGGCATCGTAGTATGATATATTATCCATATCTAAAATCTGGACGGCATTTTGTCACTCTTTTTTTTAAAATGAAGCTACGGTGACAATCTGGTGTTTACCATGACGTATGCACGACATTCCATTTATTCGTATTGCAAATTGTGGGCTTTCACAGAGACGAGTAAGACTTTTTGTGAAAATTTACCATTAATATACCAGCATATCTGCTTAATCGGTTGTTTCACAACAGAATAATGATAGTACTGATAATAATAATTAGATCAACAGTAAGTATTTTATGAGCTAGGCTAATTGAAATGAATTTCGAAGATGAACATACACTTTTCAACTAGATAAAAAGATGACAGTTATCCATGATATGTTATCACTCACATACACCTGTCATAGATCTCTCCTCGACATTTAGGGACGAGAGACTGAAATGTTTTAAAATGATTATTAATCGAGCAATCGAGTTCTCATGTTCTAGGCGTTTGCCAGAGCTATAGCCATCAAAACTTCGCCTGAAACCCCCCGCTAGAGCTACTGCCGGTCCCAAGTCCAGATAAAGGAGGAGAGTTGGAGACCCCATCCGACAAAAAAATAACTAATCATCAAAAAGAAACAGCAATAAAATGTTTCTCCATTCACATCCATTTCTATTACATCATCATTGATTTGAACTGTTTCTCCTGCTTTGATGACATCATTTTCATAGCTCTGTGTGTGTGTGTGTGTGTAGAATTCCCAATACCGATTGGAATTGACTGATTTCAATTCAGATTATTCTTTCATAATCTGACCTCAACTAGTTCATTCATTTACACAACATTATCAAAAGTGGGTTTTTATTGTAACTCATTCTTGTTCAGATATTTTAATGACCTTATGAAGTGGTTTTTCGTATAATAGATTAACCAGTGAGGAATAATTATTCAACTTACTTTTTAACATATTTCACAGTAACTGATAAATCTTCACTTGAAAGACCACGTTCAATGGATTTTTCAAAAGAGCTAATATTCTCACTCAGATCTACATTCAATGTAGGTTTTTCATTAGAAACATTCGAATTATTATGTAGAGTATTGTTTAGTGAATGAGTAGTATTACTAGAAGTAGTTGTAGTTGTAGTAGTAGTAGTTGAAGTAGTATTACGATCAAATTCCATACCAATAAACCATTTACGTACAAAATTCACATCAACATCATTTGGACCTTTACCATAAGCATGACAATTCACATGTGCCATTTTAACATAACGATTCACTTCAAAATTACTAACAAGTACACGTAATCTAGATTCAACTAAACCGCATAATTCAATAAAAGTATGTTTAATATTTCCAACTACAATAACAACTACATAATGACGATATTGAAAGAAAAATGCTGCTTCAAATAAATTAGACCATGAACTTTTATGCATCATTGAAGCTCTGACAATATTTAAACCTTTTATTTTTGGATTAAAAAAAAATACAATGAATGAATGAATTGATAAGTGTTATGGATAGAAAAAAAAAATAAAAAATAAAAATAATCATTGTCAACGGAAACTATCTCGACAAAAAAATAGTGAATATTGAAATTAAGTAATACATTGTTGCTTACTACTACTACTACTACTAATTGTTATATATTAGTTAAGCAATGGTTGGTTGGTTGGTTGATTGATTGACAAAATCCTTTATATAAACATGTTTATTGAATTAAAAGTTTAAGCTAAACAATAGAAATATAATTAACTTTATATAATAATACATGCAATCTAATCATTAGAGGATGATGTATTGAAAATTTCGATAGATTTGTTATAAAATGAAATGAAATTTATGCAAATCAAAATCTTTATGTGCGCTTATGTAGATTTGAAAGCTTCATGGTTCACCAAAGTGTCAAGTACCGACCAAGGTGTGTGTGTGTGTGTATGTGTATGATTGCGCCACACAACTGAGCCCAATTCACATGAGACAATGAATAATAATAGCCTAACAGGATAACACATTTAAACATACTTGATTTATTTATTTTAAAAACTTGAACATTGATATACAGAAGGCAACAAATTATGGGACATGTGTTACGTATACCCAATTACAGACTGTCTCGTCAAGCTTTGTTTTGTGGTGTAGGAATAGGTTGGAAGAAAGCTAGGGGCGGCCAGACCAAAATATGGCACAAATCTGTGAGGTCACTGACAGGTGGACTGAGTCAGGTTGTTAGGTGTAGACTACCTGGTTGGAGTCCATGAGACGATACTCACCTATGGTTACAGACATTGGACGACATGGCTCAAAATCGTTTAGAATGACGCAGATGCATTGATTATTTGGCTTCTCACAAATCCTAACCCTCTGGATTCTACATCAATTTTATCTTTACCCTCTCAAACTTACTTCACTACATTACACTCTTTGAATAACATCTTCAAACCCTAAACATTCCGATTACTGCTCATAATTCTAGTAACTGTACTACTATGGGATTTGAATCGACCATTGGATCTGTGTATGGTAATGTAGTATGGCAACTTGAACTGATTTATGTACGTACATACGAAGTTCTATGTTGTAACTGATTGCCTGACTGACATGAGATGCAGAAATCAATAAATTTGTATGTGTGCACTGAGCTACTACTACGCGAGGTCACTCCTCAAACATTTGACTTACAGGTATAATTCACAAGACAGCAAAACAACGTCAGCAAATGGCATCTGATGGTAGGCAGAAACAAACAATAAGTTCACATGTCAATTATTCTATTAGGCTCCTATGGCTCATGTGTACCAAACGTTTGAAATTATGGCTTCCCAACACCAATATTGATAGATTCTTCATAATCACTAACATATTTAAGCCTCCGCTTAACACTTGCTTTTTATCCTGTCAATTTCGTATCAACATTTACACTACGAGAAGGTAGTAAGTAGGACTTTTCCGACAGTGGCTATATATATATATATATATATAAATATATGAATAGTCATGTGACAGTATTATGAAAGAGATAACGAACTTTCTCCTAAAACAGACAACAACAACAAAATTTTAAAAAAAATGAGAGAGAGAGAGAGAGAGAAAGCATCAATACATTGCTTACTTACCTAGTTTTAATTCTCTTTCAATAATAATACGATTACTTCGTTGTACATTGTATGTTGAATTTTGAGATGGATAACTGGGAGTCAATATAGGCATTAAATGATATTGATCAGAAGGATTAAGCTAGTAGGGGGGGGGAGAATGTGAGATGTTTTAGAAGAAAAAATAAACAAAGAAAATTATTTAGAATACACAAAGAGTATAATATCAAGACAAGGATATACAGATTTACAAGCCAATAATTTAGTGTAGTATTGAGATTATGAGTCCCAATACTAGGATAAAACTGCCCGTCCAGTGGTGCTTTCAGATTTTTCTAATGTTCGTCTAATGATAATTGATTGATGATTTCAAATATGCAAAAGATATAGCATCATAAGGTCATCATTCACCAGCAACTAGAAAAATAGTGATATTATTTGTAATAAAGAAAAACTATGAGTCAAAACTAAATTCTAATTATGTCATAGAACTGACAATTATTTTTTAGTCGAGGTAAAATGACAAGAATAAATTTCAAAAGCGTTGCCAGTAAATTTAAATACGCATATCTTTGAGTTGTAGTTGGTGTAGGGAGTGAATGATATTACTAGTGGAGACGTGAAACCAAAGTGATTTTTTGGATAAGATGTAAACCAGTGATATATTGGTTGAAAATCTGGGGCTTCAATCAAAACCCCATTACCTTTTTTTGGAGTAACACACTGTCAAGTCTAAGATCACAGCGGAGCGAGTGAAATCTTACTGAGCAGAGAAAAATGGACCGTATGATTTTCGGTATAAAACATATTCACTATTCAAACAATAATCCAAGAACTACTTTTATGACTGCTGAACTAAATTCAATTTGATTCGTAGGATGAATGCTGAAATCAGTCTTTCAGTAATAAATCACCAACTTTTTAAGTGACATTGACTGAATGATAATCAACTTTAGGAGACTGATAATCGAAAAGAGAGTTGCAGGAATTTATTAGCTTGAATTAATTACACTTCATAACACATAATGGGTTATACATAAGTTTTCGACATAAGTTTATAATTACATTACAATATTACACTGATTTTTCTTCTGATACAGTTAGCACAGTCACGTCGTTTTGTGATTTAGAAATTTTATTGATAATCCATTCATGACTTGACGGTCGAAATCTAAGGCATAATACAGCTCCGTGATTTTTTCATACTATGGGCTCATGTCATAAACTACATCTATTTTTTACCCGGTTCCCACGACAGCAAATAACGGCCAATGTAGAAGTCGCTGAGTTCAGATTCGTAACACATGTCCAAGTCATTGAAGATGTTGCCGCAGCGTTTGAACAAACATCCCCCAGTTTCAGCATTACTGACATAGTGTTGCTACTGGATCACAACAACTCTCTAGAAAGAACGACGATGGAACACAGTCATGGAACATTCTCAATTTACAGATCACGTTTGATAAGTATGCTGCTTTCACTGACGCATTGTAAACCCAACCGGTTACAGCTAGACTAACATTATGACATCACCTCGACGAAGATAGGTGTACTCTGGTTTTCACTCCTTGTCGATTGATTTTGTCAGTCACGCCACCAGGTCTACATGACTTACCTCTAGCTCTTTCCAAAGATGATAGCAACATTGTATTTAAGGAAATTTTTGAGTTGTTTGCCGATGTCTAGCATTTAGAGAGTCACAACATTGTGAAATGAGTCGATAGTTGTCCCTATCTTTCAAACGTGCTACTGTCATCTATATGAGATTTATTAAAGAATAAGTTAGTTATCGATTGTGACAAAATTACTGGCTGCCGTCACACATCGTAGATTATTCAAAACCGAAGAGGAGCACGCAGGTTTCCATTCTAGTTGAGGATGTATTGATCTTATGGTCAGTCGGTCAGCTACATGGTACGAATTCACATCCATTCAAGCTGCCATATCACATAAGCACGGAGATATGGAACTGTCAGTTCAAATTCTATAATGATTGGGGTAGCAGAAGTATTAGCAATAATCGAGACTGATGAGTTAGAAAGTATAGCACAATGAAATAAATTTAAAAAGAGAAAAAAACAGTCGCGAGGAAGACTAGAATTTTGACAGCAGACAACTGTAATGATGATTTTACTCAATTTAAACTTGTCCTGATTTATATTTTTTCAAGGGTTTGTCCCAAGATTATTTTTAATCAACCACAGTTGACCGCTTTACTTATCTTGAGAGTCTCACCAGTGCTGATGACCTGCTGTGACGAAATCTTAGCACGGATAAAGAAAGCTCGATTAGCTTTCGCCAACCTGCGTCACTTATGGCGTAGGTGAGATAACCGTTAGCTGATTAAAGGACGAGTCTACCACGCAGCAGTTTGCTCCGTCCTACTTTATGGCTGTGAAACATGACCAGTGAGAGTAGGAGATATTTGTAGGTTGCTAGTTTTCGATCATAAGTAACTACTACTGATTATCCGAAATTCTTCGATCAAAATAAGTAAACTCAAGTTTGAACCAATGATACCAATGGTGGAATGTTTAAAGTTTTTCTCCATTAGAAGCCATTTATTCCATAGAATTCCTCTTTTCATCATATTTATCATTAGTAATATTCATGTAGATTTTTCTATTATGAAAAAGATTGGCACTGTCTGGCACATGAATAATTGAACAAGTTTTGTTTGTTTTTAATAAAAGAAGATAACTCAACTAAATAAATTACAACGTAAAGAACAATAGTTGTAAACGGAAAGCAAACTAAAAAGAATTCTGAGTATATAAATATATATATATACTTTTTTTGTTCACTTACTCTCGGATCCCAAACAGGTAAGCATAAACTTGCAATATATTCACATTCACGCAATCGTACAGGTTTTGGCCAAGGCCATTGACTGAATATTGTAAAGAATAGATAAACAATCATTGATGGTGTAGCATATGGATAAAGTTGACAAATTCGTGAAACTAAAATTGCCCATGATACACCACCCAAAAAACCCAATGCATTGGAATAGACATTACGACGTTTAGCCCAGATTCGTATCACCTTAAATAAAATAAATGATTAGAATAATTGAAAAAAAAGGAAGGAATAACCATTGTTATTCAACACATAATAATAATAATAATGATTTACCTTTAAAGCTACTTTAAAAGAATTTTTATTGTACACTAAATTGAGAATATCTTCTGTAACACGAACACCGTTAATACTGCGTACATCACGTTCATCCATATTTCTCATGAGTACTTCAGTGTTTTCACAAAGACTAAAATTTTCCGGTATAGACATTTGATCAACTTGAGCAAATAGTAGATCAATCTATAAAAAAATTTATTTTATATATTATGTAATACACATACTTCAACTCCCATGAATTTCATCTTAAGAACAGGAACAAAAGCATCCACCACAGCATGCAAATCTTCTACATTGGGATTTTCTGCTAATACAGCCTGAAAATCACTGAAAAACTCTTCACGTGTTATAAACCGTGGAACAACTAGTAAAGAATCAATATCTGCACCCCTGAAATTGACACCTAAACGATATGAACCAAAAGTGAAAATTTTCCCAGTTGTAGAATTAGCGACATGTGGGGGAAGGTTTTGTTCCAGGGCTTTACGACGAATCCATGCATTTGAAATCTCTTGTAACCTAACAAGAGCTTCACGTCTCTGTGATATCTCTTCTTGAGTTTCAAAAATATTCAACTGAGCAAGGCTAGCTTCTAATTCTTGTGTATCTTTTAAATCTTGTTCCGTGGGTTTATTGAAGCTGAGAGCTCCCGTTTCACCAAGGCACCTAGCTGGTATTTCCTCACCAACATTCATCTGCAATGAAAATTCAAAAGCATATAATAAGTAAAGCGATTAGTCGACAATGAAGTATACCTTCGGTTTCATTAACAGTGGTAATAAATTGAACAAGATTAAAATTGACAGATACTTGAGTTTGTATAGTAATCTTCTAATAGTCAAAAAGGGTTATTTGTTTTGATTAACTTTCCAGTGTTTGTGGTAGTGTGGATGATAAAATCAATCGACAAGGAATGAAAACCAGACTGGCCTAAGTCAGTTCGAGCTATCTTCGTCGAGGCGATGTCATAATGTTAGCCTAGCTGCAAACGGTTGGGTTTACACAGAGTCAGTGAAAGCAGTGTTTTGCCTTCCTAGTCGTTTCACGATTACAGTGTCCAGTGATTTCACGTCTACTAATCACTAACATTAGCAAAAATTTTAAATCGAATTGATTTCAAGTGCAGAAAAAAAAAACTAGATAATGAGCACTTAGTTCGAATTGTGCTGCAAATTAAATTTTCCGCTAAATTCACAATTTATTAAACAATTCGTATTCATCAAAACAGTGTTTCTGATACCACACGACCAACAGGTTTACAGATATAACATGAATAATTGACTATGAATCGCCTGTCAGACAGTTGAAGAAAAAACAAATTGGAAAAGTTAACGTATGCGCCTAAAAAAATTCTGTGGTCTAGACAAAGACAACCAAGTGTTGACAACTATATAATTCATCAAAAAAAGGTAAGTGATCAGTCTAGTTAACTTATAATAAAATAGACTTGAAATTACACAACCTGGAGATGCTCTGAAGCAGTTGACAGTCCCTGATTCTATAAAAGTGGAGGATTAGAGGCAGGATTGGTAACCTTACCTCGTGAAAATTCCCCCTAAATATACCGTGATCAGTGTAAATTAATTCAAAGAAGTAAACGCCACTTTTGAACCCAAACCAAGCGTTCACCATGTTTGTGACAATTGCAAATTTATTTGAATTTCAACACATCAATTTACACAGGGTCAGTTAGTCAGTTGCAACGTAGAACCTCGGACGTATTTACATAAGTTCAGGTTGCCATACCACATCAGCACAGAGACGCAAATATCAAATCAAATCCCATAGTGATACAGATAGTAGAGGTAGTAATGGTAATGAAGAAGACTAGGGTTTGAAGATATTATTCAAGAAGTATAATTCAGTGAGATAAGCTAAGAAAGACAAGGGTAGGGTTGCTGACGAATCCAGAAGATTAGGATTTGAGAGAACACAACGAATGGATGCACTTGTGCCATTGCAAACGATTTTGAGCCATGTCGTTCAAGGTCTATAACCATCGGTGACATTCCTCTCGCGGACCCCAACCAGGTAGTCTACATTTACCAACATGACTCAGTCCACTTGTCAGTGACTTCATGGATTTGTGCCATGTTTGGGTTTGGCCGCCCCTAGCTTTCTTCCAACCTACTCCTACACCACAAAACATAGCTCGTTGTGGCAGTCGGTGGTTAGGCATTCGTAACACATATCCCAACCTCCTCAACTGGTGAAGTTTCATTACTTCATCTGTTGATCTACCATCCTTACCTAGTACTTGTTTCCAAACGACAGCATTGCTTACTCGGTTGTCCCACGATATACGACCGATGCTCCTAAGACATCTATGATCGAATACTAGTAATCTACGAACATCTGCTACCCTTAACGGACATGTTTCGCATACATATAGGAGCACGGAGCGAACTGCTACGCAGTACACTTGTCCTTTGGTTAGCAGACGGATATCTCGCATGCACCACAGGTGACGCAGGTTGGCAAAAGCCAATAGAGCCTTCTGTATCCGAGCTGAGATTTCATCAGTCAACAGGCCATCAGCACTGATGAGACTCCCCAGATAAGTGAAGCGGTCTAAACGCCCGACTACTTCACTCCCTATCACTAGTTCAGGTGCTGATTCGACCCAATCTTGAAGCAACATTTTGCATTTCGAGGGGGGGGAACCGCATCCCGAACATGCTTGCATTGTTGCTTAGGTCAGTCAGTCAATTAGATGCAACGTAGAACTTGGTACGTTAGTACATCAGTTCATGTTGCCATACCACATAAGCACAGAGATATAATTGTCAATTCAAATCCAATAGTAGTAAAGGTAATAAGGGAATTAGAAGTAATCGGAGAGGTTAGGGTTAGGAGATACTATTCAAGAAGTATGATTCAGTGAGAAAAGTTTAGAGGGTCGAAACTAGAGGTGTTGAAGAATCCAGAAGATTAGGATTTGAGAGAACACAAAGAATAAATGCGCCGGCGCCATTGCGAACGATTTTGAGCCATGTCATTCAAGGTCTCTAACCATCGATTATTATCATCTCGCGGACCCCAACCAGGTAGTCGACAATCACCGACATGGCTCAGTCCACTAGTCAATGACTTCATGGATTTCTGACATGTTTTGGTTTGGCCGCCCCTAACTTTCTTCTAACCTACTCCTACACTACAAAACAAAGCTCGACGAGGCATTCGGTGGTTAGGCATACGCAACACGTGTCCCAACCACCTCAACTGATGAAGTTTCACCACTTCATCTATTGATCTGCCATCCTTACCTAGTACTCGTTTCCTAACGACAGCATTGCTTACTCGGTTGTCCCACGGTATACGAGCAATGTTTCGAAGACACCTATGATCGAAAACCAGTAACCTACGAATATCTTCTACTCTCACTGGCCATGTTTCACGGCCATAAAGTAAGACGGAGCGAACTACTGCGCAGTACACTCGTCCTTTAGTCAGCAAACGGATATCTCGCCTACGCCATAAGTGACGCAGGTTGGCAAAAGCCAATAGAGCCTTCTGTATCCGAGCTGAGATTTCGTCAGTCACCAGGCGATCGGCACTGATGAGACTCCCAAGATAAGTGAAGCGGTCTAAACGCCCGACTACTTCACTCCCTATCACTAGTTCAGGTGCCGATGAAACCCAGTCTTGAAGCAACATTTTGCATTTCGACGGGGAAAACCACATCCCGAACATGCTTGCATTGTTGCTTAGGATGGTCGGAAGACTCTGAATTTTGTCAGCGTCTTCAACAAGTAGGACTATGTCATCGGCATATTCTAAGTCAATAAGCGAGCCACCTGGTAGAAGGTCTACTACAGAAAATTCAGACGAGGATAAAGTTATTTCTAGCAGCATGTCTATGATAAAATTAAACAAAAATGGAGAAATTGGATATCCCTGACGGACACCACTTGATGTAGAGAATTCAGATGACAGTTCGCCAAAGGCTCTCACCCGACCAGTAGTGTTTGACCAGAGAGCTTGTATGAGGTTAATGTACTTCTTTGGTATACCTTTCAATGACAGACGCTGCCACAGAACCTCGCGATCCACAGAGTCAAATACCGCTTTTAGGTCCAGGAAAACAACTATTGTCGGACGTCTAAATGTGTGTCTGTGTTCCAGGACCTGTCGTAGTGTGAAGATGTGGTCTATACAACCACGTCCAGGTCGAAAACCAGACTGGTTTTCTCGAGTTTGCTCTTCACGAGCTTTCGTTAAGCGTCGAAGTATTACTGATGCCAATATTTTAGATACTAAGGGCTTTTAAGAGCGGAGCTAATACTCAAAAAACCTCTCATAAAATGACCGTGCATGACCGGCCTCAAGCAGTTGTCCCTTGGGCTCTGTGGGCACGCTCCCAGGTCGTTAGGACCAACACTAATCTACCTTCCTTTTCAGGTCCCTCGAGAAACAACCTTCCACGATGTGGGCAGCCGGGAAGTGACAACCGCCCTCATACCCGTAACAGCACACTAATATCTCTCTTATATTCACGAAACATGGCCGTTAAGAGTAGAGGACTTTCGTAGATTACTAGTATTCGATCATAGATGTCTTAGGAGCATCGGTCGTATATCGTGGGACAACCGAGTAAGCAATGCTGTCGTTTGGAAACAAGTACTAGGTAAGGATGGTAGATCAACAGATGAAGTAATGAAACTTCACCAGTTGAGGAGGTTGGGATATGTGTTACGAATGCCTAACCACCGACTGCCACAACGAGCTATGTTTTGTGGTGTAGGAGTAGGTTGGAAGAAAGCTAGGGGCGGCCAAACCCAAACATGGCACAAATCCATGAAGTCACTGACAAGTGGACTGAGTCATGTTGGTAAATGTAGACTACCTGGTTGGGGTCCGCGAGAGGAAAGTCACCGATGGTTATAGACCTTGAACGACATGGCTCAAAATCGTTTGCAATGGCACAAGTGCATCCATTCGTTGTGTTCTCTCAAATTCTAAGTTTCTGAATTCCTCATCATCTCTTTCTCTCTATATATTTATCTCACTGAATTATACTTCTCGAATTATATCTTCTCTCCTTAATCATCTCCATAACTGCTAATACTTCTACTGTCGCTAACACTTTTGGATTTGAACTGACAGCTGCGTCTCTATGCTGATGTGGTATGGCAACATGAGCTGATGTACTTACGTACGAAGTTCTGCGTTATATCTGTCTGTATATTAGAGTAAAGCCTGATGACATCCAGTCGAAAAATATATTGTTCGCTTATATATGTGTTGTTCAAATCGAATCTGTCAGATGCACTAACTGGAGATCACTCGACTGGTGGTAAAGCTCATTCTTAAATGTATCCGGGCTATGCGTAGGCGGAAATAATGAACAGGCATTGTTTCTCGAAACGATTCTTCGCTACTTTGATGAAAGTATCTAATCCAACAGCACTAAATCAACTGTTAGTCAGCATCCAGTCGACTAGTGCGGTCTCGGTCCTGGTGCTTAGCGCGATCAACCCAAGCAGGACCAGATGATGTCACAGGGTCTCAGATAACATGTACATCATCATAACAAGTACATCATCTGTCTTGAATACGGGACTCGGATAGACAGATCTTTCTAAAGAAACAACCAAACTTATCTATTGACCGACATGCGTTAATGTGCGAACATTGTACGCCGGTTTCAATAACATATATGGTTTCAGAATTCGTTTTCGGCGATAGCATTCAA